AAACCACCCAAATGGCCAGGAAGCACATGGGAGGATGCTCAGTGTCATTAGCCTAGCCACTGGCATCCAAACCACAAAGATACAGGACACCAACCCTCATGATGCCCTGATAAAGATGCCATCCATGTTGGCGAGGACATGGAGAAACTGGAATCCTCTTGTATTGCTCTTTGGAATGTATAACGGAATGGAGTTTTGAGAAACAATTTCAGCTTCTCAAAATGCTAAACATGTTACTGAGTGACCCAGCAGTTTCACTCCAATGTATATGTCCAAGAGAACCGAAAACAAACGTCCACACATAAACCTGCACACAGATGTTCACAGAAGCATTATTCAGAATAGTCAAAACCATGGAACACACATCAACAAATGTGAATAAATTAAATGAACAATTACTCAGCTTTAAAAAGGTATGTACTCTTTTGGACTTGATAAAATAAAGACAATAAATTCTTAAAAAAAATAAAAATAAAAAGGTATGACGTTTGGTTACAACACGAATGTACCCTGAAAAAACACACAAGTGAACACAAATTGTGTGGCTGCATTTAAATTAAATGCATAGAACAATCCATACAGACAGTAGATTGATGTTTGCCTACAGCAGATGGCAGGGACCAGAGGGAATGGAGAGTTTTAGGGAGAGGAGACAAAAATACTTTAAAATTGATTACTGTAGTGGTCATGCAACTCTCTGAAGATACAAACAACCACTGAATTGTACACTGCAACTTATACAACATGTGGATTATATCTTGGTAAACCTGCTAAAATTCGAGGGGGCATGTAATATGTAAACATATCTATTGGCACCACAAGATAAAAACAGAATGGCTGCAGAGGCTGGGTGTGGTAGTGCACACCTGCAATCTTAGCACTTGGGAGGCAGAAGCAGGAAGATCACAAGTCTGAGGCCATCCTGGGCTACGAAGTGAGAAAGGCACATGCACACATTCAGAAAAGCTGCCCCTCGATGCACAGCTCACACCACACTTAAAACAGACATGATAGAGCTGGTGACGTGCTCCGTCTGTCTCTCCCACAAGCATCACTGAACCAAGTTCAAAACATGTTTTACTTGTGTGCAAATGCAAGAATTGTCTTTGTTTATTAGAAATGGTCTGATGCCAGCGAGCTGCTGATTCTGCACAGCTATCTCCACATTTCAAGCTGATCCTGCATCTTATTGTCACTACATTAAAATCAATTTTATGAGCAACTGCATACTGGTATGAGAACAGCCACTATTAAAACACTGTTATAATGCCTCTCATAAACCTATATGAGTCCAAACAGAAGCCTTTACAGTGAACTAAACAAGATTCAGCAATCCTGCATCCATTTGGAAAGAGTAGCTTTGGGCATGAAATATTTATTGATCCCTTGAGATCTAAATTTAATGGGCATCAAAATTTCAAAATAATTGATTATTATTTAGAAATCTTGATAGGAAATCTCATAAAATATTACCTAAAGCTTTCCACTTTAAGATCAAACTAATGTCGTAATCTTTAAAGTCTTTATTTGCATGTTTTCCCCATAAACATAGAGATTCAGGAGAAAATAACTGCAGAAGGGCTATCATCAAAACCACTTAAAGCTTCACAGTTCAAAACGCTGCAGCAGCATTCATCACAGCATAGAGGCTGCTTTGCAATGCCAGGCCTCCTCCCAGCAGCTCACAAAGCCAATTGAGTACAAACACAGGGATTCTCCTGAGCAGGCCCATCAACACCTCCTCTATGACCCTGGGAAGGAAGCCTGCCCCTCAGGAAAGCACGACATTGCAGCAGCTACATTGCAGGAACCTGTGACAGAGGCTAAGCACTCAGTCTTTACTGAACACTCAGTTCTTGCTGAACACCATGGCTGGAGTCCAGTGGAATGGAAGGGGCTATACCTGAGGAGTTCCTGTGTTGGCCAGAGGCCAGATGTACAAGAAAGGAACTCAGGTTACTTAGGAAGCCCTGGGCAACCTTGGCCATAGAGGCTGCACCTGTACCCAGTACAGCACCATCTGCTCTGCCGCCAGGTTTGTGCTAAGAAACAGGAAGATGGCCTGTCACTAGGGTGCTCAGCACTTAGTAGGGGTGCAATTTTGCTGAGTTTATACCTCCTCATAAGCAGTGAACCAGAAAAATTGAATATTTGTGTGCACAAGAGTCGGCAGCACTTTCCTAAGCCAGAGGCTGTTGCTCTGAGGTTTTGGCCAAGTTCCAACTCAGGTAGTTATAATCTGCTTCCTAAATTTTCCCTACTGTTTCAGTTAGCTACAGCCTCATTCATTTTGTTTTCCTGCCTTCTTAGGAAAAGGTGGAGGGAATTCTTGAGCTCCCCAGACTTGCTGATGCAGAAGAAAAGGTGAATATGGCATGCTACAAAAGTAATGGCTGCCCTAGTAATGAATGAGATGAATGAGATGACACCTGCATGTGTAGCAAGCTTCAGAGAATCAAATAAAGTATCAGAGAGCAAGGACAGAGTTAGACAACTGCATCAGAATGCCCTCACAGGATAACACACACACAAGTCTTCTCCCTAACTACAGCAGAGACTGACCTACTGACAAATGCAAAACCTGGCAAAAATAACAACAACAACGAAAAGCTGAGAGGTTTCTTCACACATATAGATTCCTAATACTGCAGACATAACTGTTCTCTCATGATTTAGAGAAGGGTCCGCCAGCAGAGATTAGTGACGTGCATGAACTTGCCAGTTTCTCTCAATGCCAGGCACTCTAAAAATAAAGCAGGCTGCACTGCTCAGATGGCCAAAAGCTTAGTCTGACATTATCAATTTTGGGCAAATATAGAGTGGAAATAAAACATCCTTCTACTGCTTGTGGGTTATATAAACGGGTCCAGACACTTTTCATAGCAATTTGGCATCTAGTAAAACTAAAAATGTGTCTCTCCCACATCCCATCAACTTGGCTTGTAGGAATCTATATCTGTATCCCACCAAGGCTCTCACACTTTCCACCAACACACACACAGGCATGATATTCCCCACAGCAACATTTTCAACACAGAAAGGGGTGGGGGGGGCACTAAATGTTCATAAAAGAATAAACTGTAGTACATTACTGTAGAAGAATATCCTGAGTTGACCTTAAAAATGTAATACTAAGTGGAAGGGAAAAAACAAGAATGCACCTTAACACTCCATACCCACAGGTTCCATATCTGCAGTCAACCAACCATGAAGAGAAAATATTCAAGAAAAATACTGAGTGTGCACTGAATATGTAAATATTTTTTTCCCCTTATTAACTACTAATGTAGCATTTACATTGTGTTAGATATGACCAGTAATCTAGAGACAATTTAATGCACAGGGGACAAGTGCATAGGCTATATGCAAACATGACATCAGTTTTTAGAGCATCCATATTTTAGAGATTTGGGTACTTGTGGGAGGACTTTGAATCTCCCATGGATATCAAATGACAACTGGACAGATAAATTTATACAATTGGGTACATGCATTAGAATTCATGAAAGACAAACCTATGCTTTTTAGATACACAGTGATTATAGGAGTGGCATACACAGAGAGACATTTGCAGTGTTTGGTTGCCCACAGGATATGTCTCTTGGCCAAAATTGAGGTCTGGCTCCCATGACAAAGTGGAAAAGCCACATCCTGCTTCCCTGATCATGACAATTACTAGGAGGGAATGGGCACTTGATCTACCTTGCCCTCCTAACAATCTCACTTTCCAGGTTTACACCTAGGTTTCAGAATGTAAAGATTCAGAGACAGAGAAGAATGTCCAGATGAGGGTCGCCTTCTAGGGTCAGCGAGTAGGCAGGGTGTGGCTTGCTTCTCTGCCATGGCAATGCCTGCAGGGTCTGCACTGCTTCCTTCAGTGTAGGGCCTGCTCACTGCCTGAGTCTACACCGGCAGGGCTCCCAGGGTTTTGACTGGAGCCAGTGCCCTTCTGGGAGAAAGCTTTCTCTGCTTAGTGCAGCTACAGCCCACAGCTGCTGAAAGTGGACTAGAAATGGTGTCAGTGGAGAGGGACCATGGACAGTTCACCACTGTGGTGGCCAAGGGAGGGACCTGCACGACTGCATTATTTTCCTTCTTTATTTATTTAGGGGAGCAATGGTGACCGTTAAGAGTTCTTCATGTTAGTTCTTAGTTACCCATTCTACTTTTTTTAAAGCCCTAATTAGTAAAAGACAAAGAAGAGGCCATTTCCGGCACTCCCAGATAGTTTAGGTAGGTGCCTTCTGTTTAACAGATCCCAACCCTGCTTTGGGGCTATACTGTTTAAAACTGTATGGCAGAATTCATATCTCTCTCTCTCTCTCTCTCTCTCTCTCTCTCTCTCTCTGTGTGTGTGTGTGTGTGTGTGTACATATATGTATACTTCTGGGGTAGTACTGGGGTTTAAACTCAGTGCCCAGCACTTTTCCTTGCTAGGCAGCTACTGCACCACTTGAAGAATGCCCCAACCCACTGTTTTTGTTTTGCTTTATTTTTCTGACAAGGTCTAATGTTTTTGCCCAGGCCATGATCCTTCTATCTATGACTCCCAGGAGTTGGGATTACAGATACATGCCACCATGTCCTTCTTGTTTATTGAGAGGGGGTCTTGCTAGCTTTTTTTTTCTTAGGTGCGCCTTGAACGGTAATTCTTCTGACCTCCACCTCCCAAGTAACTAGAATTATTCAACATTTGTTCTTATGCTACTATTGAAAATGGTTATCCAAAGATCTTGTGAAGTAATAAGCAGGCTCTCTGCAAAAATGTTTGAGCGTACCCAAGAATTCCTTTATTCCCCACGCCTGATTTTCATTTTAAAAGATTCACATATATAAACCATGCCATTTACACATGAAGTACATGTTTTGGGGCTGGCAAAACCAACATCTAGAGACTTGTCATGGAACTACTCCTCCTAGGTTTTTATCCCTTCTCTCAATCTGTAATGTAAATTTGTCCCCAGAGATGTAGCCAAACATTTAAAAGGAAGACAACTTACTGCATGGATGTCCTAAGACCTTCACTTCATCAATAGCAAGATATCCTTGATGGCCAGAGGTTACCACTTCGAAAATCACCTGGAAAACCGAGAAAAATTTAATTATTCACTCATTTTGTCAAACTTTTGTCAAGTATCTCTTATACATAAGACACATAGTTTTACTCATTCATGTTTCCAACAGATACTAATGGAGTATATAATACCTGTTCAAGTTTTTAGAGCACAAAGATAAACAAGACCCCAACCTGGTCATTGGAAAGTCTAAAGGGTAGTGGGTGGGTGAGACAGTACCTGTCTAAGGACTCAATTGTAAAGCATGTAAGAAAGAGAAAGTCAAAGCCAGGCAGGTGGTACATGCCTGTAAACCCAGCAATCAAGGCTAAAGCAGGCAGATTATGAGTTTAAGGTCACCCTGGGATACATAGTAAGACCTTATCTCAAAAAACAACCATTGAGAGAGAGGGAAAGGGAGGGAGGGAGGAGGAAGAGAGATGAGGGGAGTGGAGAGAGAGAGAGAGAGAGAAAGAGAGAGATCAAGAGAGATCTAAGCCATGTATAATCAAGTATAAAAATTATGCTCAGACAGTGCTAGGGTGTAGCTCGAGTGGTAGAACTCTGGCCTAGCATGCAAGAGGCTCTGGGTTCAGTCTCCAGCTCCACAAAAATAACTAAGTAAACAAACAGATAAATAAATAACAGGGATCTAAATTTATCCCAACACCTTATAGACAGGACACTAAGGACCAATAGGAAAGAAAGGCAACACTTACCTATAGATAGATAGGTAAGCAGGTAGGTAGATAGATACATTATAAACACATGCATATATGCAAAATCATTTAATCCTTAATACTATTCTCTTTTCCAGGGGTGGTGGTAAATGGGGTTGGACTGGAGGATAGAGGAAAAGGAGGCAGGAGGAGGGAGATGGTATGCTTACCAAAGGACAACTGGAATAATCCTTGTCACTGTGGTTAACAGACAAACCTTCCTGGGGAGCAGGGTTGTACAGAGCTAAATGCATACATACAAACACACACACACAGGAATACAAGCCATAGTGTGGGAACATAAATAAACTCTGTAGATTATAACAATGTCAATATCCTAGTTGTGGAACTGTATACAACAAGGTACTGTATACCTTGGGGATACGAGCAACACACACATACACACACACAGAAATTTCACTTACTTTTCACTACTGTGTGTACCTCTACAAATATTTTGATTTCAAAAGGAATCATAAGTTATGATTTACTAAATACTTATGTAGCCTGGACTATACAATTACCACTCTATTAACTTATTTATTAGTTCATGCAAAAATTGTTCAAGAATTTCAGATTTCAAAAGATGAAGAACATTAGATACAAGTAACTGACTACCAATGATTGTGTCACAGATATAATCTTAAAACTCAATCTATCTGATTCCAAATGCCATGTTTTCACTCCTACACACAAATTGAACAAAGCTGATCCAAGGACTACAATGTTTGTGTTCATATAAAGCCAGAGAACACAACTGGCAGAGCACAAAATGGAAAAGGAAGGTGGGGCTTCCACACAACACACACAAGAAGTCATCAAGAAACTCTTGATAGATTAAACAACACTGCTACAACACTCACAATAAAATATAACACACATGGGAAAGAGAAGAGGCTCTGCAGGAAAACAAGAGATGAAATAAAACTTTGTCCTGTTCACAAGTTTGATACAGTTTTTTTCACTGATGATAAAAAAGAAAGGGAGAGACGGCCGGATATTTCTGCAACTGGACCATGCTCATTTATTTCCCTCCTATTAAGGTCTATAAGACAACAAATGAAGAAACAAAAAAGATGAGTTTTAAGAGTAAAAACAGGAAAAGGCATTCAAGAGGCCCTCACGGCAGGGCCCTGGACAACAGTTATATCCTGAAAAATCAGGAACAGAAACAGCAAACTCTGCCAGGACCTGCAAGCTACTGATGGCACTCCGCCAGCTACCTGACATCACTGTCACTCTGGTCATAAAAATGGCTTTTGAGCTGGGTGCTGTGTTGTACTCTCATAGTCCCAGGTATCCAGAAGGCAGAGGCAGGAGGATCACTCGAGCCCAGGAGTTCAAGATCAGCTTGGGCAAAATAGTGAGACCTTGTATTCCCATCACCCAATAAATGAATTTTGAAAGCCAAATCCAGATTTGTCCACCAGACCTTACTTCATTTATCAGTCCTCCCTTTCTCCCATCCTTCTTCAGTCCCTTCCTATCACAAATTCATTTACTCAATTCTCTACTGAGTGTCATCTCTCTTCCAGGAACCATGGTAAGCACTTGTAATATATAAAAAACAGAATCCTTTCCTTAACAATCTGTCCTCGTCCTTATAGAAATTATAGCTCACCAGCTGCAAAGGTTACAGATTACCCTTATTCTCTGAAGAGATATGTTAGCTCAGACTGTAGTGCACATACAAAATATGCTCATGGATTCAATCTGTCAATTGATCTGCAGATATAAATATAATCCACAGTATTGTATTTAAACCAATATGGAACCATGGAGAGTGAAAGAAGATAGTGAAGAAATTAGACACTTAGAAAAGCACTAGCTTCCAAGACTCTGGTTTTTCATACATCCAGTCAAGGAATGAAGATCCTCTGAAGTTTTATTCTCAAAATTTTGGGTGTTTTAGTTCAAGTATTTATAGAACATTTACTCTATTCTCTGCAGAATCAAAAAGTTAAACATTCTTAAGAAAATTGAGATTTAGTGGAAGAATAAAAAACATAATGAAAGAATAAAGACAAGACAATCATGGTTACAGAACAGTCAAGCAACAAGGAGGTCAAAGAAGTCCTTCCTGCCTCAGGACTGTACATCCTTCATACCATGAAACCAGGCAGCCTGTGATGCAGCCAATGCACCCTCAACACAGCCCTTGCCCTGCCAGTATAAATGCATGGACGCCCTAGCTGGCATTTCCTTTCATCTCCCCCAGCTAGAAGCAGGAGAGCTTAGCAAGGAACCCCAAATTCCCAGCAAGGTGACTTGGCAGCAGGTCACAACACAAGAATTGAACACATGCTATTTCTGCAGCTTCACTTGCTCGCCCCTAGTCTTCTAACTAGAATATCAAGATGCAATGAAAGACAGCATCTAATTGTAAATAGCCCACCCTTGCAGTTAATAAGGAACTTTCAAAAGTGAACTTCAACTGTGCAGGCCCCAGGACTGACTGCCTGACTTAACACTAACTTCAGAAAGGAGAAAGGAAAGCATTCTTTGTTAATGTCTATACACACATACGTACATAATTTATATATATTATACACATAAGAACTTCTTATATCCCACACTTAGATGTTTATAAATAAGAAGGTAGGTTATGTGTTACAAGCTTAAGTCCAGAAATACAATATTTCTTCAAAAATTAAAGTGTATTTTTTAAAAAAGACTATTTCTAGCTGTTTTTAAGTCACTTATTAAGTGATTTATGAGTACAAATTTACAATTTAAGAAAATATTTGCTTCAATGCATACAAGTATAAAACAGCTATGATTTATACTGATAAGTTTGCCATTTTGAAATAGATATGATTAAAAGAAGATACCTGAATTCAGTAGACCAGTCAGTCTTAGATTGACTACTAACTCTACTTTAAATATCTAACCACTGAGAGATTTGTTTCTTAACAAATTAAAAGGTTAAAACATGCAGTTCAAAAGGCAAGACCCACTTTAAATAGGTCTCTTGGAAACAACCCCATAGGAGTTCTTGCTGCCTGGCGAGTTTTCCATTTTGTACCCTTTTCTAGGCAGTGTCCTTACCACCAAAGCTTCAAAGCAAAAACAATATTTTTGTTTCTTTTTGTCTATTGAAAGTGCAATATTGCTCTAGTGAAGTATTACGGTTATATGCAAAACCCAGAGGGAGTCACAAGAAAGTTTGAAAATACCCACATCGAAGTCCAAAAAGATTGAGGTCAGAGAAAACAATAACATGAGGACAACAGTGGTATCATTGGAAAAAGAAAACAGAAATGTGTGAGACTTTGATTTGTGGACGTGCCATGTTTGTTTTTATCAAGCACAGCAGAACATATTGAAAATCTGTATTAGAAGTAAGGCTGGGGATTCTTAAGGGCACCATATCATCTTTTTTTTAAAGTGATTCAGTAATTCAAAATGCATGTATTTACCTGTACAGGTTCTTTCATATCCCAGGCATCTTTTGTATGTATTATCCAGTTTTCCCCAGTCAAGCAATTTGAGGTGGGTCATATTAGCTCCCTTTTTAGGCCCAAGTGGCTGACTCAGAAAGGTTAAATAATTTTTTCTGAGGTCACACAAGTAGTTACAGTGTTGGAAAATAAGCATAGGTCTATTTTGCCTCCAACTCTAGACTATCTTCACACTACCAAACTGCCTTAACTCGCAAGTATAAGAGATTATATACACAGAATGCATACGTATACACATCTGCACATGCTACATGTACATATATACACATATATACAATACACAATCATGCATACACACAAATATGCCCTTTAAAAGCATAGATACATATGTTCTAAAATGATTACTTTCAGATTTAAGTAAAGGATATAGCAACCATTTATTTGACTTAGAAATGTAGATGAAAGGACAAGTCATATGACATAGTTTTACCAATATAAATTTTAAGCTGGACTGCAAATTATTGCTGTGGCCCAAATCTGTCCTACCACAGATTTGCTCCCAAGCTAAGGATGGTTTTTACAGCCTTCAATGGAGGGAGAACAATCAAGACAATAATAATGCTTCTGTGATACATGAGAACTACACAAAATTCAAATTTCCACATCCATGAATAAATAAAGTTTTATTGGAACGCAGCCATGCTCATTCATTTATGTTTGGCTTTGACTGCTTTCAGACATCATCAGAGCTAACTAGTTGCCACAGACCCCGTCTGGCACGACAGCCTGAAATATTTACTATCTAGCCTCCTGTTTTTAGAGACTTTCCTGCTTAGCTCTTCAACACACTGTCATTACTCTGGTTAACAAGAAAGCACGCGTCAAAACCAATGCTTTGTCACAGC